CCTTTTTCTTTTCTTTTTTAATTTTGATGAACATATCTAAAACGTAATGAGAAAATTATAACCTGAATAATTTCAGAAGTTAACATGATTCAAACATGGTATTTTTATGCTTAATTTAATATTACATTGTAATTTTTGTTTGTTTGTTTTATCGGCATATTGTAAATCTTGTAATAATACCTTTTTTAATAATACTTGGCGAGAAAGAGATATTTTTACTTTATAGTTAAAAATGGTAATGGAGGTTACACAATAAATAAATAGTGAGTGGTTTGGATTTTGTTATATTACGAGGGAGAAACAATAAAAAGTTATAGATAATAGAGAAAGTCATAAAAAGAACAAAAAAAGTAATAGAAAAGTTATAAAAAATAGAATAAATATAAAAATTAAAAATTGACAAAAGTATACAATTTTTCATAGAACTGTATAATCTTTGTAGGTGTATAAAAGCTGTTATAAGTTGTCCTATTATAGATAAAAAAAAAGACATGATAGCTGGTAATCCTAAAAAAAGTAATAGATATCCTCATTTCTAACTTAGTTAAACTGCTCTTTTCAAAGTGCTAAATGTTTACATTCTGATAAGCTTTTGTTGTTGCAGATTCCAATAGCTTATATTGTGGTGTCATATTCAGAAAAACTTCTTTTTGCACGAACAAATATCAACTCCACCATGAATAATTGCTTTTGTGTGTTCAAAAGGATGCTTATTTCATTTTCACTAGTAGGGCTTGCTACTATATTTTTTTTTATTTGAAGAAAAATGTTCAATATTTGTTGTCAAGTAATTTTTTTTTTTTTATAAATAGATAGACATGAACCAATCTCATTTGTAAAATTATAAAAAAAATGAATGAAGAAAATAGAAATATGATTATTGAAAAGGAGAGAAGAAAGGAATTTATAAGGGTGAGATAAACACAAAAAAGAAATATAAAGGTATGGTGGTGGATTTCGGTTTTCCACAGCGTTAGAGAAAAGAAGAAAAGCGATTGAGAGCGAAGCTATTTGTTAGGTTTGAATCAATTATTGTTATTTGTGAAGCAAAAGTGGCCTTAGACTAACTCACTCACTTCTCTAAGGTCCACACACACACCCCACAAGATAGAAATTTGATGCCTCCACTACATTTAGGTCTTCTTCAACAATTTTCTTTATAAGAGTTTTTTTATATAAACCCTAATCATTAAGTCCAATTGAATTAACAATTTTTCACCCAAAATTGTAGTTAGATAATTCACATGTTTAATTTCTCAAGAAGCTGAGAATATTTTAAGAAAGTTTTCATGATAACTTTTCTATTGGAGACGAGTTAACAAATCCTAAGAATTTGTTATTATATACGTAGACTAAATAAAGATACAAGGATTAGTGGCAAAGTTAAATTTAAATGAGTTATCAATAATAAATATTTTTTAATATATATAAACCTTAGAGTACTTAGGAAAATCGAGGACACCTAGGTGATAATTGAGATTTTGAGTATGTTTGGTTTGGAAATAAAAGTGAAATGAAAGAAAGTAAAAAGGAAAAAAGAGAGGAAACCAAATGGAAGAAAGATCATAGAAAAAATAAAAACTAAAATGAATTTTAATTTTTTTTTGGCACGAAAGAGAATTTCTAAGAAGACATATATTCAGATAAAATAAATAAATATTCTAAACAAAAAATAAAATGTAAAAGTCGTATAAAAATATTTTTGTTGTGAGAAATAATATATACATAAAAATAATTAAATAACAATCTTATTGAAATCATTAACGATAAATTTATATTAGTTATTATTATGTATTAAGTAGTTGTCAAAGTTTTCCTTTTCACTGAAAAAAAAGAGTATATTTAATGTTACCGAATAAAAGTGTAGATGTTGAGTGTATACTTGTATGACGTCGTATTTGGTAGCAGTGAAACTCTGAAGAAGATTAATTATCGCATGAAATGAGATGAGATGAGTCTGTTGATAATATGTATGTATATATTATTTGTTTCTATTCCTTTTTTCTGTCATGTGTAACGAACAATGTGTGTGTAATAATTATATGCATGATAGTATAATATACAAAGAGAAATAAAAAAGGAATAATATTAGTGATTAATATGATTAGTTGAGCACTTAACTCCACTGCTAACGATGAAAAAAAGGAAAATTAAGATGAGGTGACAGTGACATTATATTATATATAGATGGTAGATGAAAGGGTAGGCTAAGGAAGAAGATAACCGACATATATGTTGTTTATAAATTCTTTAGCTTAATTTGGTATTGAAGAGCGTGAGGGTCATGGATGTTTTTCTGCTTAAAACACTTATTTCAGGCATTCTTGCTCTGTTAGTGTGCCTTTTGTTTTATCAATTTAAGAAAACAGTTGGCGGCAATACAAAAAAGATCTGTAGTGCACCTCAAGCAGCAGGTGCATGGCCTATCATTGGCCATTTGCATCTCTTCGGGAGTCATCAGCTTACGCACAAAACACTTGGGGTCATGGCTGAGAAACATGGACCAATTTTCACAATAAAGCTCGGTTCATACAAAGTTCTGGTGTTGAGTAGCTGGGAGATGGCCAAGGAGTGTTTTACTGTCCATGACAAAACATTCTCGACCAGGCCCTGTGTTGCAGCCTCAAAGTTAATGGGCTATAACTATGCCATGTTTGGCTTCACTCCTTATGGTCCTTACTGGCTTCAAGTACGGAAGCTAACGACCATTGAGCTTCTGTCTAACAACCGGCTTGAGCCCCTCAAAAACACAAGAACGTTTGCGTTAGATGCTGCAATAAGGGGGCTCTACCGGTCATGGTCAAAAGAAGGGTGTCCGGAGGGAGGAGTTTTGGTAGATATGAAGCAGTGGTTTGGAGATTTGACACATAATATTGCTATCAGAATGGTGGGAGGGAAGCCGTATTGTGGGGTTGGCGATGGTTATGCGGATGGTGAAGCAAGAAGGTATAGGAGAGTTATGAGGGACTGGGTATGTTTGTTTGGGGCGTTTGTGTTGTCTGATGCATTTCCATTTCTGGGGTGGCTAGATATCAATGGATATGAAAAGGATATGAAGAGAACTGCTAGTGAATTGGACACTCTAGTTGAAGGTTGGCTAGAGGAGCACAAAAGGAAAAGAGCTTTGAATGTGAATGGAAAGGAAGAACGGGATGATTTTATGGATGTCTTGCTGAATGTTCTGCAGGGTACAGAGATTTCTGGTTATGATTCAGATACCATCATCAAGGCCACTTGCCTGGTACGTAAATGTTTAGCTATCTTGTTTTCACGGTTTCTTCTTCCTACTATAATTCCTGCATGTTATCCGATAAACATACAATTAGGACTTTCTGCTATAAACCTTATAGTTTAGGACTCGCTAATCAGGAGCCTCTGGTGGTAAAATCAAAGAGAGAAATTATACCGTATCTGGCGAACCGCTTTTATGGATCAATATTCAAACCACTGCAGTCTTATGTCTGCCTTACCAAGTAATAAATTCAAAAGGATTTATTCCTACAGAAACACTAGAGTACAAGACATAAATTTGGAAAAGATTCACATATAATATTGTTTGAACAGTGATTCTTTAAATGCTAGAAGAGTACAATTTTGAGTTGACGAAAACCATTACCACTATCACCGTGACCTGTGTCAAAATTTCCCCACTTTTTAATTTATTGTGCAACCTTGCTTTTAATTATTTGTGAGATCAAACAAGCTATTGATATTTCGGCTCGTCTATTCAAGTCTTTTCATAAGGGACAAAACAACATGTCAAAAGCTACTAGTTTTTTTGCAAGTTCAGTAGGGTCCACTTCCTTAGAAGAAAAACTCTCTTCTTTAAACACCCTTCTGTCTTGCAAATATCCAAAGCTATTAACGCACGTAACCAAATTCCACTTCTCCAATTTTTACGTGATGTCTTGCAATCCGATTCAGTGTAACACCCTTATTCTGTTCACAAGAAGAAAATATCAGCTTTTGGTGCACATCACCTTTTTGCTTGACATCCAATTTTGAATTACAACCATGGTCTTGTATATCTTTTGCAGAATTTGATTTTAGCAGGAACTGACCCCACCATGGTCACGCTAACATGGGTGCTGTCTCTGCTACTTAACCATCCAACGGAACTTAAACGAACCCAACATGAACTGGACACTCTTATTGGGAAGGAAAGGAAAGTTGAAGAATCTGACATAAAGAAGCTGGTGTACCTTCAAGCCGTTGTGAAGGAAACTCTGCGCCTATATCCACCCAGTCCCATTATCACCCTTCGAGCAGCCATGGAAGACTGCACCTTTTCATGCGGCTATCACATTCCTGCGGGCACACAATTAATGGTGAATGCTTGGAAGATCCATCGGGATGGTCGTGTGTGGAGTGACCCTCATGATTTCAAGCCTGAAAGGTTCTTGACAAGCCACAAAGATGTTGATGTAAAGGGTCAAAACTATGAGCTCGTCCCTTTTAGTTCTGGAAGGCGATCATGCCCAGGTGCCTCACTAGCTCTGCGTGTAGTGCATTTGACCTTGTCTAGACTCTTGCACTCTTTCAATGTTGCTTCTCCTTCAAATCAAGTTGTTGACATGACGGAGAGCTTTGGACTCACAAATTTAAAAGCAACCCCGCTCGAAGTTCTCCTAACTCCACGTCTGGACACCAAGCTTTATGAGAACTAGATTATATAATACTAGTTGTACACGAAGCCTCTTGATTCTGAAATCTGGGCTATCAATCTTGTAATAACAATAGCTTGTTTAACGAAGTTGCACTGTGTTATAAAAGCTGGTGTAATTTGTAGAACTCTGATCATTCTGAACTTTTAGAAAAAGATAAATAAACGAAAGTAATGCAAGGCCTTCACAAACGAAAGTAATGCAAGGCCTTCACAAATATTATGTTATCTTTATGCCATTCACAATCAGGATAACGCCATAAAGCCTAGTTAAAATCTTAGGCTTGCCTTAGTACATGTACTGCACACAAAAGCAGGTTTGCAACTAAAACACAAGTTGACAGACTGACAAAATGTGATATAAAAATTCTATCATGAAGATTTTACCTAACCATATGAAAAAAAAAATGAATTTGAAAATTACATATTGATCTGTGGTATGTGCTGACTGACTCACCAGCACACTCTCTAATTGCTGGAAACCTTACCTACATGTTTAACATCTACTGAATCTTACAAGTGGAGATAGCTAGTACAAGGAACGATCCATTTTACTCCTAGTTAGTAATATGTACACGAACTGATGTCAAGCCTTACACAAGTATGCTAACAACGCTTGCCTGAATCAGCAATCAATGAGAGAATGAACTCGCCTCCGTGCTATACATTGAATATTCACTCAAGCTAAAGTTTGGTCTCTCTTCGTTCCACTTCAAAATCTCCTTGGCGTATTTAAGCGCCGCATCCACACTACCAGGCTCCAACCCCTTCACCAGGGACACATACAACTTTCTTCCGGTAAGAGATGAGTAAAGCCTTTTAAACTTAACTGCTATGTAATGGGAAGCCAACTGACCAAGGGAGGGATTACTATTAATGCTGTTGCTATTGCTGTTGGGACGGTTGCGACTGATTATTGGATGGAAATCAGAGAACCATTCACACTTGGTCAAAGGAACTTGTTCGATTTTCTCCTCAAACAGATCAAATTTGTTTAATATCAACAAGAAGTCCATTTGCTCAAAGGTTGGATGAGTGACAATGGTTTCAAAAAACTTCTTGCTCAATATCATCTTGTTAGAGGGACAACCATTCCCATCGACATAAACCTGATCGTAGTCACTCAAGGAAACACAGAAGATAACCATTTCAACATCCTCAAACATCTCTAGCCACTTGCAATTTTCTCCTAGGCCCCTTGCATGTACTCTAATTAGTTGATACCTGTTGACCAGAAAAAAAGTATGAATCAGAAACATCCGATAAAGGCACGTGGTAGGGAACACATAATAAATACCCTTATGATTCAAATTCACAAATACGAAAATCAGCAACATCATAGGATATTTCTGGCATAAATAGATATGCATGACAGGACAGTCATATTCCGCCCATTTGAAACAAATATACAAAATGGCGACGCATCTTCCTCATAAGAAACAGAGTTTGCTTTTAACAACTAAACCAGACTAAAAAATCTCTACGGTAGCCATTACAGTAGTATGGGCACCACTATCCAACTAATATACAGATTGATCTAAAATATAAAAAATAGAAACACTAAGATTAAAACTTGAGAGCACTTCATATCCATATCCAGAGATGGAAAAACCCTCTACCGTGTTTCTTAAACAACAATACCAGCGAAAAAAATATTTCATCAAAGCCATAAGCTCCTTACTACAATTCTAGCATACTTATCCTGTATTTTGTTTATTTTGATATTTTTCACTAATGCTATTATTTTCTTGTCTATTTTGGTATTTTCACTGATGCCACTATTTTCCCAGAGAAAACAATTATAAGATCAATTGGGTTTATTCAGAGCCAAAACACAATTTTGGTACATAACAGGCGCAGAAATATTTTCAGCTACCTAACAAAAGAATCATAGAGATCGGTAGTGTCTACGGTTTCCTCGGAATCTGATTGGGGAAATGAAAACTCCGCACAGGCCACCCCATTAGATGAAGTAACTCCCTCTGCATAAAGGATATCTAAATCTGAGGGTTCATAGTCCGTCCTTAATATTTTAACAGCCTGAAACAGAAAAACTTGTCATAGTCAGAGACAATAGTGTCCATGAACAGCACAACTAGTCAAGATACTAGCCCAACCATTTTTTTCTAGGAGAGGAAATATAAAAACGGAAACCTATAAGAACACAAGATGGAGCAACAATAAAAATAATATTGACCAAGCATTCTAATAATGCTTAACAGGTGAGGAGCAGTATTAACTTATTCTCACAAAATGCTGACTTTGCTAGACTGAAATTTATTTGTTACTCTGCAAGCTTAAAGCTTCTGTCCGATATCCTTTGTACAATACTCGCTACCTCTCCCTGAGAAATTATCCCTTTTTACAACCAAGCTTCACCACCAGTCAAACACCTACTAATTCTTAAAACTTATCAAATCCTATGTACAAAAATTTTATTCACCCCTCCATTGTTTTCCCAGTACTTGCAGAAGAAATTGACTATATATAAAAATCCCTTATAAAAATGAAAAGCGGCCATTCCATAAATAATTCAACTACCTACTTTTAAAAACAGTTAATGGGTAACACATAAAAGGGTTTTACACAATTAATTTGATAGCAGCACAAATGCTAAATAATAGATTAAAGAATTATCTTACCCGCTCTAAGAAATAACTAGCAACACTAGGCAGCATTTCCAATTCGCTTCTTCTTTCATATGAGGCCTTAATTGCAGCATCATTCCATAATTCCTCAATCAGTGGTGCATACTCACGAGTAGCAGCTGGAAAGATAGCATCAAGTTTGCCAGATACCATAGTTTTCAGTAACCAATCAGAGAACGCTTTCAATCTTGGGCCAATGGAATATACAGTCTTGTCATCATGTTTTAGACTACTTCCTGTAGAAAACAATAATTGTAAGACTCAACCTTTAAGTATTAAAAAGCAGAAGGACATATAAACATAATTATGAACTATAACTCCACTCAAACAAACAAGTATGCTGCAAGCCATTTAGAACAAACTCGTGGCAACTAAATGGGGCACCATAGAGGTGCTTTAAAAGAAAGATAGCCAGGATAACAGGTCAAACCTCAATAAAAAGCACATATTTCTGAGGATAAGGGAGAGAAAAAATGCATCCTACCTGTGCTGTCAAGTACGGATGACTGTCTTTTTTTCAAATCCCCCAAACTTTCATCTTCAAAACGCTCCCGCCCCTCAAGCAGTATGCCAAGGTAGGCATAAACATTGCTCTGAATGGTCAACTTTATGTTTTCATGCTCATCTTCCGAGAATGGGACGCTTTTGTATAAAATTTTTGCCTGCAACAGATATTGGCAATTCTGTGAATATATTGACTAGTTCCAGCATCTCTATTGGTGACTTTGTTTTTACATTGAGGAGGGGCTTTTCAAAATCTTATTTGAACAATTCCTTATGTTCCCAAGAATAATCGCCTACCACATCCAACTTTGAAATTGGTTACCAATTACTCCAAAAAATAGGCTTTTCTGAACGAGGAAATGCTAGATGACATAATGGAGAGTAACATAGTTGTGCATCCAATTAAAATATATAGCAACCTTTGCAGAATTGACAATATTACTGCACACAATATATTGTGATTAACTAGGTTAATACTAATGTTTATAGCTTAGAAAAACACAGAAGTTTCTTTTCTTTCATTTTGCTAAGCGAATGAAGGTATACTAATGTTTATTCCTGTAGCAGGTGCCTACAGACCATATTTTATCCAATTTAATGTAACTATCAATTCAAAGAAAATATTAAAACATGACTTAATTCACAGACTCAATTATCAAGTTAAATGTCACCTGCTTAAAAATAGTGCTCGTTCCAGATCCACTACAACCGACCAAGAGAAGCTTCTGAAGCACCCCATGCTCCAGGTAATCAGGAATTGTTCTGCTAGCTAGGCTGAAAGGTTGTTCTCCCAAAGAATTTGAAGATTTAGAAGGAACTGGCAAAGACAGGAAAGCACATACAAGCTTCGTTCCAGCCTAACAAGCACAAATAAAGAAATGCATAGTAAATAACGTTTGGCAGGAAGAACTGGAGGTATTTTCTTTCCCACCGCAAAAGAGTAAGAGGTTACCTTGCCCCATATATAACCTCTAGTGTTCCTCTGCCCCTCTTCTTGGTAGGAACCATCCTCATTGACCCAAAAATGTGGGTTGCCAGCACACTGAACTCCTGCCAACTGCACAACCAAAATAGAATCCTTTCAACGCTTTTGTTTAACAATAAACAAAGTATGATTATTAAGACAGCCTTTCGGTATAAATCTTCGACCTGCAACATTCGAAGCTCAACTTTTGTTATTTCCCGACCATTGATGAAAACCTGAGTGTTTCCATTACTAGCATCCGGTTGGATGGGGCCTCCAACATTAAGATGTGGACTTATAATTCTGGAAGGCTTCTGTCCCTCCTGTGAAATCATAAACCAGTCAGCATCCTAAATGACACTCAAACTATAACTCTGTATAAATCACAAATGCACGAGAAAAATCAAATAGATAATAATAATAACAAATACCTTCCCCCAAAGACCAGATACTTTATCATACCAATAATTTCCCGGCTTCAGCTTCTTGGGAGGGTTCGGGCAGTTCTGCAACGTAACCAGTTCCTCATAAGAAAGCGGCTGGCCATTGACGCAAACATACTCAGGTGGAAGCTGATTGGCTTCACAAAATCTCTCCGCTTTCATTATTTGCCGAACTTCCAATTCGTTAAGCAATCGCTTGAGCATCCGAGAGCACTTCCCCAGACTTCCTCGTTTGGTCTCATCAATCGGGAATCCAATGCAAGTCACACATTTCCTCCCCTCGGGCATAGACCCCATAGCTCTGAGCACGCAATTACTACAATATTTCGCATCACAAACAAGACAAACTTCTTTCTCAGTAAACCTAGTCCCCTTGAAGCACCTATAACAAGACCCTTTCTTCCCCTTCGTGAGAGGCGCCCTTTTAACAGGTTTACTCACAGTTTCCTCCACATCAAACTCCTCATCCAAGGCATCGTCATCAGAGTCCACATCAAACTTAACAACCGGGGGGCGCTTGGAATCGATATCCTCAGCCTTCAGCGAAGAAACCCGAGTTGACGGATACTCCAAACTCAACACTGACTCGGTGGATGCCCAATCTTGCTGATTCAACTCGTTGAAATCCAAACTCTCTTTTCCATCCAAAGCCCTCAGCACGCCAGAACTTCTCCCTGATTTGTCCCAAAACTCAGCGGTACTAGAGCTTCTAGTTTCCTCAAGCACTCTCGAACTTTCGCCCAAATCCGACAAGTCACCGGAGCCGTCGTTCCCGGTGGAGAACTCAAACGCGCCGGAGCTGCTCAGCTCGCCGGAAAGCTCCCCGACGTTGCTCTCGGAAGCTCGGTGCTCGAATGCGATCACGGAGGTGGGAGAGACCGTCGTTTCGGACGCTAACTTGGAACCCCTAAGTTCGGAGCCAAGGGTTCTGAGAGGGGGCTGCGGCGGTGGCAGAAGCGGCTGCACAACCGGCAATGAGAGAGCGTCGGAGAGAGGAACCTGGGAAACGACGGCAGCCACCGGAATGCTGTCGACACTGATGGGCACCGCCCGAGGAAGGTCGTAGGTTAGCGGCGGGCCGTCGTACTCGACGGCGAATGAGTAGTCGGCAGCTTGGGGCGCCGCCGGCGACATGGTGAGAAACGGTGACGCGGGGAAACCCTAATCTAACGAGAATCGGAATATAAGAAAAGCATGAAAGCAAAGAGGAAGTAGTGGTAAATGATGATATCGAGAAGGGTTAAACGAAAGGGAATAGTAAGAATAATGCAGTGTTGAGTGTTGGGTGATGAGATTGGAATGAATGTGTGTGAGTGTGAAGAAAGCAAAAGGTGATTTTAGGTGAGGAAGGCAGAGAAAGAGAATAATAATGATATTATTATTGGAATATAATAATAGAATAGGAGAGAGTGGGTGAGAGAAGAAGGAAAAGGAAAGGGAAACAAAAACGGGACGTGAATTCGGGGAATCTTTCTTCTTTTTTGCGATTGGGAGGGGCACGTGGGGTCTCAGCTGGTGAACGCTTTGTCCTTTTATGCTTCCCACTCCCATTCCTACTCTATCCATTCTAACATTGCTTTACCACACAAACTTCCTGCATTTTTTTTTTCTCTTTTTTCTAACTCCTGCAATCACATTACCTTCAACTTCTTCCTATTTTATGCAATTTTACTATTTCAACGGGACCATCGTTTAACGTCTTCGTTCCTATTCCTTTAATGATGGACTGATATCTGTTGTCAAAACTTAATATGGATTCGAAAATAAAGATAATAAATATATAATTACTGCGTAATTTATCATATTACCTGAATTTTTATTTATACTTTTTTTTATTATAATTGTTTATCTGCCATTCAAATTGACTTAAACCTTCGTTGTTTGGTGTAATAGTTTTGTTTTTCACTTTCAAACAAATTTGGAATCGGTCAACCAGTTATTTTGACTAATCGGACTATTTTTTCATTGATCGGTCCTATTATACACAAAATTCCTAAATTCGAGTATTGCTTAAGACTATCCGAAGAGGTTTGATTCATTTTACACTCTTTGATACTTCCTTTCAACCACTTGGTCTCTTTATCGTTGGTTTTGAAATATGTTCATTGAAAACGATAATCGTGATGCTTTGAACTTCACACCTCTCAATTGCATGTAAAGATGGCAACCATTACCCAGTTTACAATAAAAAATTCTATTTGTTAATACAGGCTAGATTCAACTTATCAGCATGTTGGATCGAGCCAAACGACTAGGTTACGTAAAAGAATTTCATAATCGTTTGGTCACAACAGTTGGACAGAGTTAAAGCACAATTATTACGACAATGACTATTAATGATTGTTAAGAGTGATATTAATAACCATTAAAAGATAAATTAATTTGTCAGATTTGTGTAAATTCTACGAATAGAGATTTAATTTGAAAGTAATTTGACTTTTTTTTTTTCATAATGAAATTATCTTTTATTTTAAGAGAAAAATTCTGACTTAAGCATGCACGTTCATCTAAGGTAGGAACACTAAGTATTCTCGTCCCATTTCAATAGAAATACTATTTATTATTTGTTTAAAAAATATCAACAAAAAAATTTATTTATTATTGGTTTAAAAACTATCACCGGATATCGTGAATACTCACGTGTATTTAAAAAATATATTTTATAATTTTTTATCTCATTTGATTATGAATGAAATAAATTTTCAAATTTGGGTGCAAGATAATGAATGGTTCAGGATGACATTATTAGTTTATTAACACAACATCACGTTACCCAAAAAATCAAGACAAACGCAAATGCTTAAGTTTCAGTTTCTTAGAACAAAAAAGGTAGGAGTGTAGAAACAAATGCAAGCCAAAAAAAAGTAAAAATGAAGCCAATATTTATGTTTTGACAAACTCCCATATTTATTAATGTGTTTAGAATTTTAAACAATGTCGTTATTAATGTTCATAAAAAAAACAAATATTTATATACGCAAAAATTGTATTTAAATTTGTGATAAATAATTTATATTTAAAAGTATGCTTAATCTATGAAATGACTGGATATACATTACTTTTGGTTTTTGTAATATCTGCGTTTGATTTTCCTCTTCAAAAATACGAAATCGTTGCCACAGACTTGGTGCATAAACCCAGAATTAGGAGTGGAAAGCATATAAACATAAATGTTGGAAGAGAACATATCAGAAAAACCAAACCTGTTCATACATGCTAACTAATTAACGAATCTATGACACAGATATTTATGTCGTTGGAACATATGATATGGAACTAGAATCTCTTGGACCCCACTCTCTTCAATGATGAAACTATGGGGAAGAGATCAACACTCTGCCGTGGTGCTTGGTGGTTGTGTTGTGCAGTTGCATTCTCGGAGACCTTCCACATCTTAACGGACTTATCCAAACTGCCACTGTACAAAATCCACCGTCGCTCGTTGCACATGCCGTCGAGATCCCTCTCCGCCGCCAGACACTTAACCGGGCCACAGTGGCCGGACAAAACATTAAGACACGTGTGCTCCTGACTCAGTGATCTCTTCCACACGCATATGGACATGTCAGCAGACCCACTGAAGACCAAACTTCCTGCAGCCGCCAAACACAAAATGGCCAACTTGTGTCCCCTTAATGTGCCCCTGTGCTCCCAATTTGTCTCTCTCACCCAATAATTCACCAGCCCATCGGAAGAACCAGCGTATAAAAAATTCCCCTCGCCGCTCATCGTCAGCGCCGTCACCGCACACTCTTGCTTCAACAACGTGTGCGAGAAAAAATGTTTTGTCCTTTTCCCGTGAACCTCCCGCCGCCAAATCTTAACCGAGCCGTCAGCCGAGCCCGTGAAAACCAAGTCGTCCAACCCCACAACAAGCGCATTAACAGCATCCTCATGGGCTATCACAGACTCTAGACACTTGAAATTGGACGTTCGCCACACTTTGAAAGTTCTATCCCACGAGGCAGAGTATATATAACAATGATCCTCTGTCACGGCCAGACATGAAATGGCGTCGTAGTGTTTAATCCACAAGACGTTACGGTGTCGTTTCACTTCCACGTAATTACTTGGTTTCACCGAACATTTTATGTAGTTTCTTAACGTGGGCAACGTTGCCACACGCTTGTGTTGTTGGTCGTTTTTCCCGGAAACTTTCCACACTCTTATCCTTCCATCTTGGTGTCCCGTGAGGATTTTTTCCCCGGCGATCACAATCGCTTTCACCAAGCCGCTGTGGCATTTGAACCCCGTGAACTCCTTTTGGTTCTTCCACACGCGAATATTTTTACTCTCTGAACCCGTGTATAACAACTCCTTGGTTGCAGCGAGGGAGTATATGTGACCCTCTTCTCGGACTAAGGACCCTATGAGAGCCTCGTTGTCGTTGGAGGTAGAACCTTCTTCGTTCATGTGAGAGGACCATGGCGATTTCGATAAAGGAGAAAGGGAAGGGTCGTAAGCAGTGTGATCTATTGCCATTTGAGGATCCAAATGAGGTGCGTCCAACGTAACAGGGCTATTTTTTCTTGGATGGTTATCAGAGTTATAACCATCGAATTCGTCTTTCTTTAACTTTCCATACTTTTTTCCATGGGAGCTTCCTTCCTCTAACATTCCTGTCATCGTTCCCATGCAAGGGAATGTAGCAGTAGCAGAAGCAGAAAGGTTCAAAGCCAAGTTAAGCTTTTTTATTTGTTTTAGAGAGGAATTAGCATTGAGGATTTTTGCAGTTAATGTTTGGTATTGGGGTCGTGGTGAATTAATGAGTAAATGTTAATGTTAAGGATCAGTTGAGGTACCAAACCGCCCAACGTCGTTGAATAAACGTTGGGAGGTTTGGTATTGAGGTTGACAAAGGACTTTGTTTGGGACGCAGTGGTTGTTTGGTAACCTTATGCATCTGATGTTGTTGTCTAATTATGTTGTGCCACGTTTTCTGCGTATATGCCTATGACTACGTGGGTTAACTTCCATGTCAACCTTTAATTAGGAAGAAGATTGTAAGATTAGGTAACGAAAGAATCATGTTATGATTAACTTACATTGCTATAATATGAGGAATTGCACTCTTTAGATATGTTGAACGAATGAACGAGATTATTTGACCTGTTAAACGAGTTTGATTTAGTCAATAAACTAAAATTGTAGTTTTCACCCACTTCCAAAGAAAAATAATTGGTGCTTATTTTTTCCCACAAAAAAATTACCCTTTATTTTCTCAAGTTTTGCCAAAACAAGAAATTCTGCAAACGCTCAACACTTATACACCAGATCAATTTTAGTTAAGTCACCATTTGATCAGTACAATATACTGAAATGTTGGGAAGTATATTTTAAATTTATTGTCACTATAACCATGATGGTGCTGAAAGGTTACAGGGATACACCATTTTAAAAACAAATACAAATATTTTTTAATCAACAACTCTTTTTGGCATGAGATAGGAAGAAAATGAAAGAAAGAGATATTTTTTTAATCTTATTTTAGTTTAAAACTTTGTACAATATAATAAGAGAAATGAAAATATTAGTAACTCGTGTTTTTCTTCACAATTTTATTTGTTTTCATTTTTTCTCTTAAAATAACCAAAATTACATAGAAGTTGATAGGTTGTTATTTCATGTTTTTTTTTTCAATCTAGTATTATCGTTTTAATTAAAAGTTTAAAATGAAAACAATATATTTTGTTAAAACACTTTTTTAACATTATTTTTCAATGATTGAAATTTGTTCAAAATAACTTTCTTTTCTAGGTTCACCTCTTATATTGCATTTTCTTTCTTTCAATTATAAATAAAAGTGGATAAATTATTTATTGGTGATAATCACAACCCAATTTTTTATCCAATCATCCTGACCCTGTTTTTAGTAATCCTTTTATCCAATAATATATCGATTCTGTTCTGCAAAACTTGAAAAAATTAACCCTAATAGTTATCATTAAAATCTTAAACTTTTGTTTGAGTTGAGTTGTGAAAACTGACAGAAGCAAAGACAGAGCCATTAGTTTACTTGAAAAAGGAAAACTACTAACACAGCCCATTGTTTTTCTACCAACACGTTCCCATGGAAAGAGATCACTGTCAACCATATCTTCAATAATTATAGCTACTGCACTCTACTTCCTACATCTTGTCTCTCTTTTCTTATTTTTTTTACAGGGGAGGTTCTGATTTCAGTTATCTGAGTGCCAAAATTTGAATTATGAACGAATATCTGAGAAAGATTCCTAGTTCCCATCACACCTCCATCTTAAAAATAAAGATAATGAATTTTACCTACAAATTGGTAATACAATATATTCACAAGAGTAAAAACTATAATAAGAATTACTCCAGAATTTTTCATATCA